GGGACGTGAAGCAGTTACTATTATCGCAGTAAAAATTGAAACGGATTGTTTGTTTTCCGCAGTACTTCAGCCATATTAGCACATGTTCATCCAACATACATTTTGTCATGTGCTTGACCGAGTATATCTTCTCAGCAAGAGTTGCGCCTTCGGATCCAGTTTTTTTTTCGGTTGCTTTTTGTCATTCCCACGAGTGGGCAGCCGTAGGAAGTATTTTGTAGCTAATGCTAATTCTCCGATGACCTGGAACCCTGGAACCTGAAAGTGTGACACTGTTATGTTTCTCCAGTCTATCGAGTTCCAATCAGCATTCTGACACTAGCCTACAGTCTACCGTAGAGCTTATAAGAGCTCTCATGCTATCTGTGCATATATTGATCCGCTTTAGATCGAAAGCCCTCACGATAATTTCTCTTCAGAGAAATCAGGTCATCCGCATAGCCCAGAAAATGATACTGTTGTTGCTGAATTTAGATATCAGCCCATCAAAGACTAGATTCCTCAAGAGAGGAGACCAGATTCCCCCTGCGGACAGCCTGTAGCTACTAATGCTAAAACTGTATTCCTTTAGTACCGACAGTTATTCCAGAATGACATCAGACCTATCAGCCTTAAGGTCTTAACTTTTTCCTCTTCGGATTTCAGCCGTCATGCTTTTGGTATGTACCCCAGTCCTAAGCTAGCCTGCAGAATCATACAAAATTTTGGTGTACAGAAGATACGTTTACTTTGTGTAGAAGTATTAGATAAATCCCGTCCGGACCCAGTGATTTACATGACTCAAATGAGTTTATTGCTTATTTGATTTTGTCCTGATGTACCACTTCTTTTGCCAAACACCAGTTTTCCTTAGAAACATCAGATATGGTATCCAGTCCAGTCAGCTGCCATGTGTCCAGTGATACGAGTTCTGTTTTAAACTCAGGAAAGTGCACCCTGAAAAGTATTTTCAGGGTCTCTTCTCCATTCTGAATATATTCTCAGTCTAATTTTAGAGAGCCTTAATATTTCTGAACTCTGTTCTATAATACCTTCTCCTCGATTCTGTATTTGTCCTTGTCAGTTCCTTATAATATTCAGTTAGATCTTTGCGATAATAGTCCCAATCACATCATTCATTGGCGAATTAAATTGTCGTATAACTTCTATCCTTTGATTTTCAAAGTGGTCATTCCACCAGGGCACTTTTCTGTTGGAATTTCTCGCTATCTCCGGACAATTGTCTGCGAACGCTGACAATTGAAATTGAACGCTCTTGAAATTGTTCAACTTGATTGATATGCTTTTCAGTTTTTTTTAAGAGGGTTAGAATAAGTTTCCTTGATAGACTCATTACCTTTTATTACAAAACAGATATGTTGATGATCTGAACAAGACAGCACATCTAACAGATCCCATTTTTAACAGTTCTAGCCACGTGAGTCGTGGCCACTGTTATATAAATTACCTCCTTTCGTTGTGAAATTACGAAGTTTTGTTTATTACGTTTAGTATGTTTAAATCATGTTCCATAACCAACTGTAGTAATGACACCTCTTTCGTTAGTGTTTATACTGCACTTGTTAAACTTGGTTCTGGTTGCTTTTTAACAGGTTTAATTTTAGTGGTTTACTAATTTAAAATCTTTGATTTTAGATGGTACGCAAATAATGATGGTTGCAAAAAATATACTTGATATTTTCTACTCTTTGGATGAGAACGCAGAAACATTATTTTATATGATCAATATTCATTTAGGATGGGTGAAGAGCACACGCACTGGTAAATATACTGGTCCAGCCAGAGTAGGAGATGGAAGTCACTATATTATACTTTGCTTGATGGATCAGAAAGTATTGTAAACGCCAGGACTGTATAGAACGTCCAGAGATCATTTATATAAGTTGATATTAATAACAAAAAAGAAATGTGGTGAATCGTATAGTTAAAGCTTCACGCGGAACTCATGTTTATACTAAATTGCAATCGTATTAGAAGTTACAAACAGTACATATGAATATATGTACTTTTTGTATCTGTATTGTATATTCCTTCGTCATTCCAGAACTAATACTTGTAAGACATTTGAGAGAAACGGATGTGGGATGAAAATGGACACTTGTATCGTTTACAGTTACAGTTGCACTAGGATTACGCAGAAATAGTTTACCTCTCGTCAAAGATTTGGGAAGTGAAGTATAAAAACAACAGATCTAGAAAAAGCATTATTAGTTCAAAGATCAACACACTCCGATGGGCATTATGTGAGGCAAACCTCCTTTTATAACTTTGGTGTAAAGAGTCTTTTAATTAAAATTTGTGTTTTATTAGTTTTTAGTTATTTATTTTTTTTATTAACGCATCAACCACGCAGGGTCATTAGCGTATTTAGATTATGTAACATATGTGACAGTTGATACAATATGTGAATATACATTACTTTACAATAATAATTATAATAATAGATATAATAATAAATTTCAGAGAAAAGTACGAACACACCTCACAAAGGCACAAAAACACCATCCTCGAAGTGCAGTAGAAAGAACGACATTACCGCGGTATTTAGGAGGACGAGGACTTATTGATATAAGCGAGCAATTAGATAGACAGATTACTATTATTATTATTATATTACTACAATTTAAGAACTTATTTTCAGGTGCAGGCGGAGACATCTACTCTTCATCCCGCGATTTGCGCAGTAGATGACACACCGATAAAACTGAGGGAACAAGAAATGCGCATAAACCATCTTACTAAGAACGAAAAAAATGCGCATCTGGATGGGTAAACCTTTGCACGGGCGACATCCGAATGAAGTCAGTCAAGACTATGTCGACAATATAGCGTCGAACTATTGGCTGATATCAGGAAAGATGTTCCCTGAAACAGAAGGTTTATTACACGCCATTCAGGATCAGGTTATACCAACCAAAAATTACCTGAAATATATCGTCAAAGACCCTCAGGTCCACAACGACAAATGCCGATATGGATGTCAAGCCCAAGAAACGATCCAACATCTTACCGGAGGCTGCCAGGCATTTGCTTCAACTGAATATAAGAAACGGCATTACTCAGTAGGGAAGATCCTCAATCAAGAGATAGCTTTTAAACTGGGACTTCTACAAACAAACCATCTCCCATATTATCAATACGTTCCTGAGAGTATGCTTGAGAATGACAACTACAAGCTATACTGGGATGGCACTATGCTCACAGACCAAACTGTAGCACATAATAGACCAGATCTCGTGTTAGTTAATAAAGTAACAAGACAAACAACTCTAATCGATGTGGCGATACCTAACTACAATAATCTGGGTGTTAAGTACAACGAAAAGATCGCCAAGTACAGAGATCTGGAAATACAAATAAGAAGACAACGGAGAATGGAAAGTACCCAGACGATACCTATTATTCTTTCTACCACTGGAGTCATTCCGAAGAACCTCCTAGAAAACATAAAAAAGCTGGGTCTAAATGAACATCTATATAAGGTCATGCAGAAAGCTGTGCTACTTTCGACGTCCAGATGCGTGCGAAAATTTTTAGGAGATACACCAACGTACCAAGTCACCCAGGACTCGATGACATGGAAAGAGTCCCACCAGAGCTCAATCCTTTTGATACCGTAGGTATCTGGGATGAGAAAATTTTCCCCTTAGAGGGAGTGTGAGCCGTATGGCTAAATCTGGATTATAATAATAATAATATGTATGTGTGTTAAAATGTACGTTTTTCTTCTAGGGCGTCTCTTAGGGAGTTGGGTATGCTATATTTAAGTCGTTCACTGTTATATTTGGGACACTGTATTAAAAAATGTTTTACCGTTAGAACACTGTTGCACACTTCACACACTGTTTTGTTTTTGCGCTGTAATAAATAGTCATGAGTAAGTCGTGTATGGCCGATACGGTTATTCTTTATTAGACTAAATATTTTTAAAATTGTTGTTTTTGTTGAAAACGGCTTTATTAATTTTTAAATATAGATATGTCAAAAAGTAACAGTTTTTTGTATTTTTTAGTTTTTCAAACGTTATAAAAAAATAAGCATTTTTTAATTAAATGTATTAAATGTACAAAGACGTGTTTTATTTTAATAAAAAATAAATTTTGCAAAAAAAAATATTTTACACTTAAAAAATTATCAAAAAAAATTGTTGGTCCTGACAGGCCTCACCCCATGTACTTATGTAATTTTTAACCCACCTCTCCGCTGGAGGATTACAACAAGCCCAAAAGTTAAAATATTATGCTTGGTATCCGAGGACATCGATCAACTCATAACGAGATATCAGATAACTACAGCCTTTTAAAGTAAAAATAAAAAAAGGAACTGCATTATATTTTAATTCGCAATTATAATTATTCATATTTACTATTAAAAGCGACTTAATACTAAGGCAATGACATATAGTGCGCACTCTAACCTTTCGACTTTTCTTTTGACATTTAAAATATATGGTTTGAAATTGTTTATATAACTTATTCCTGTTATATAAAAATTTATTACTTTTATTATAAATATTATAAGAATATAGGTTTCTAAATATTTGCAAAGTAAACTAAATGCGCATTATTAACAACTGTGTTATTTCCATTCACAAAAAGTGAGAATGACATTTCTATTGAAGTTTTAGTTTTTTGCATGTTCTCAATAGTAAAGTGACTGGCAAGACAGCAAACAGTATTGCTCAAGAATAATTGCAATTAAGTATATTGCCTCAGTGTACAGTAGCTTTAAGCTTTTGATATTAACCTCATCACAGATACGAGTTAAGAAAAATAATCGACGATGTCTTCCATCTCCTTCCTCAATATTATAGCTTCATTGTAGTTAATACTACTTGTCTTGTACTGTTAAAAGCAACTTAGAATTTACTGTTTTGCTCAAATCAATTTTCAAAAAATAAAATTATCTGCAAATTTTCTAAGTAAACAGTAATTTTTTTTTATAATTTTAAAAGTTTAAATTTAAACAATTGCCAAAAAAAAATTTGTCGTGATTCTTACCGAAAATATTATGGTTTTCTTCCTAGTGAACTAACGTCATCATCAATCTGCAAAAAAAAAACAAATATCAATGTCATTGAATTTTTTATTATATCTACAAACTGGATAACAAAACAAACAAAGACGTAGGATGTCAAAGAGCCAAGAAGAAACAATCAATAATTGACAGGAAAAAAGGAATGCAGCAATGGATTTTATCAGAGTCCGTAACTCCTAATAACCGCGGATCAAAAGGCATGAGTTAGGTGTAGACATACTTGATGTTAGCGAAATAAGATGACCGAATACGATTGGGATGTATGTTTTTTTACTCGACGTACTGCGTACAAGGAGAAGGGAGAAGTTTTATTCAAAATTCTTTTATACAAGCTATATAATTAAAAAGACCCTTACGGGCTACATTACAGAATGTTTTCGGACTAAAAAGTCCAGTATCAGTGTATTATTACCAGGTGCACATGAGTTAAACCCATCGAGCAAAAAGACAAAAGAGGGAATCTAATCGTTATGAAAAGGAGACCAAAAAAGTGGCCTCTGATGGCGGACATATCCGGAAATGCGAATGCGCCAAATTTAAATTTTCCGACACTTATTAACAGTAGCTATAAAATAGTTTTCAGAATGTATCTTGAACGAGAAAGTTTTAATTAAATATTACCGATAACAGTCTAAAATGTGAAACAATTGTTAAAAAACTTCAATATAAATAAGATTTCATGTGACCGTTGGGACAAACAATAACATAACCAAACTAAATTTGATTTCTTAAACAAGGAAAGACTCTCTTTCCTTGTTTAAAGTGGCCTCTCAAGATAGCACTTCCTGTCTAACAATATTTTGCCCCCACTACCTTTACATTCCCTCTTTTGTCTTTTTGCTCGATGGTCAAACCACTAAATATCTGGGTAAAAACCCTTAAAAAGTTAAAAAATTTATTATGTGTTACATTTTTGTTGAAAATATGGTGTGTATTTAACAGATGCCCTGCATTGCAACGTACGACTTCCAATAAGGGTTGTTGCCCACCCTCGACAATATCTGAATGGGTTCTAGTTGAAGTCCGTTAGTACAATTACAACCTAAAGCTAAGATTAATACTATTACAAGAATTAATATTAAACTCAACAATCTTCCGGGTTGAACCGCGTTGATTATCACTGCACCGAGCTTTCGTCATCATCTTTGATGTCTTGTTCAGGGCTTCCGAGGCCTGTCTCCCGAGCCCCAGACATTACTACACTTATCACTAATCAATGCATTACTGCTACTAGCAACAGCGGACGGTTCATCTATACCGTCGATGGTGACGTGGTTTGGGTGGAAGTTGGCGCAAACATTTCTGACGGTGGGATTTTGGTTGGAGGATCGACCGGACGATATTTTCTTATATTATTTTCTCTCTATTATAATTTAACTTAGAAAGAACTATACTCAGTATGAGCAATAAAGAGACACAATGGCACATTGTAGCTGAAGTTGGGGCGCGAAATAAATTGAAAGGTTGTGAGAGAAAAATGGAACGTTATGTAGTAAATAAATAAACGAAAAAACATTTTCTATTTATGTAATTACACTGCCTTAAAATTTTAAAGATTCATTGGAAAATTGCCAAAAAAAAGCAATCAGACCAAAAAGATTATCTAGAAGTAATCTCTCAATTACCTAGACTTGGAAAGTTATTTAACCAATGAAACAAAAATTATGTACACAGCATTGTAACATAGCTTTTGCTACTTCCTGGTCGTGCTGGAACAGCTAAGAGGGCATAATCATCGGTAAAAGTGGATGAAAGGCGACTGAATTGTTAAAATGTCGGTCGTACAAGTTAAGAATAGCAGTAGACTCAGAACACTACCTTGGTAAATCTCTGCCTTGATCTTCTTTCGAAGAGTATTTATTGCGTTATGAATAAATATCTCTCCTCGATAAGTAAAGTGATAAAATTCAATAGCGAAAGTACTTCATCAAACCTGGGACTCGAAAACAAAAATTATTAGTTTTAAATCGAAACACTTGATCTAAACATGTAATATAATAATTGTTTTCTGGTTTATGGATTCCCGTTATTGTAGTTTCTAATCATGTAAATATTGTAACTTCAAAGCTATTTTTTGAAGCAAAATCAACAATTTCTCATTCCCTGAAGAGATATCCGAAGGTGTGGCAACCTTGCTAGCACTGTAATTTTTTTCCAATTACCGTTGGCGTCGATACAAGCAAGGCTTGTTCCATGTGCGTCACATGCCAACGCTCACTGCGATAACTAAAATGTGATTGATCAGCCAGTTCGCGCAATAAGTATGTATTTATTAGCGAAACAAAAACCCACGACTGGTACGATTTCTTATCAATACCAGTGAATAACTATAAGTGTGAAAGAAATAGAGCCGCGTATGATAAGACTTCTTGACCTATTTCCGCTTCGGGGCAACAACTGTAATTAGTTTTTTTTTTTCAAACAACCCGACCATTACTTAAATCTCCTGTCAACAGTCGATATCAATTTCAAAAACACATGCCATGCCGTCTTTAATGGTAAACAATTAGGGCATCACTACAATGATATTTTTAATTAAATAACGTCTGCAAACTAATTTCAAATTTGCGCAGGAAAGAAGCTTGACACAGATCTTTAAAACTTTAAGATCAGATAAAAAGGAAGCGAAAGCAGCTATAGGAAAAGCTAAATGAAAAGCGTATATAAATCTGTACATCTATGGACCTTGACCCAGACACAGAGATACATAGCATAATTTATTGAACAGGCAAGAGTATATTTATGAATATGAGCAACAAGAGTCTAAATGCGTAGGTGCGATACCGTTATGTGAAATGCTATTCATACTAATACTCTTTACTCATTGCTGGAGTATGGGGTGAAGACTTTGACAATCAAAGCTAATGGCCTTGAATCTCCTTGAGGCTTTAGAAATGTGGATGCTCAGGAGAATCCTTAAAATTTCCTGGACGGATCACATAACCAACATCGAAGTATTACGCTGAATAGCTTGCTGAATTAACTTAATACTTATTTAATACTTAATTTCTCCATATTATAGAGTAATGTGGATCCTAGATACTTGCAAACTATTACTTTTCACAATCAGTTCACCATCCAAAGCTATCATTTTATTTGTAATAACTTCATCTTTAATGAACATTCCAAATTGTTTTGCTGTTATTCTGATTTTTCTAACCTATCTGCCCCTGAAATAATTTTCACCCGGAAATGCGAATGGAGGCTAGGTTTGCTTCCGGGAGATTTCACCACAGGAGATGCCATCATTTCAGTATAATTTTTATTACATTGGAGGTCTTTTCATTATTTTTTTTTGTTTTATAACATACAATTTATTAGATATTGAGCTTATGAAGAAACTATTGTACTATCGTTAATCCTTCTTGTGTTTATTAAAACTAATTTGAAAATAGAATTGACGAAAAACGAAATTATAATCAGCGAAACTGAGTGCTCCGTGAAAATCCGAATCCAACAGCATCACGCGCATGAGATCTGGTCTCTTCTCTCATGTCTTCCTTGACAGAACACTGAACTGAAATTACGCGTTCCATATTATTTGAAACAATTCACGTTTTACCTTAAGTACGTTCAGCACTTAAGTTACTGTGCAACAATCTCTCCAACTGTGATTCTCTGCTCTACATACCTTAGATATTTGAGCTACCGTGACGAACAGACCAGTCTTCTTGTGTAGAAGCTACATATACTTATAGCGAATCGTCAAGATGAACTCGCACATCCCCAACCAAACACCATCCAATCTCAATAGTTCTGAAGCTATTTTCTTGTGACGTTTTAATGTTATATATTTTCTACCTTTAATAAATAAACGAATTTAACAACATATTTTCAACTGAAATTGTGGTTAATTCCCATTCAAGATAGTAAACAACCTTCCATTCATTTAATACGAGGGTTGTCTTTTCTAAATTTTGAATATAGCCATAAAGACAAAAAATATATAGGCCTACAGTACTTAATTGCTTTTCAAAATATGTCCTATCAAGATCGATACACTTTTGCATACGTTCAAACCAATTTGTAAAACAGTTATTCCAGTCTTCAGTTGACACCTGCAAAATTGCTGTTTTAACGGCATTGATGGCTTCCTCTGGCGACTGAAATCTCTGCCAACACATTGAATTCTTGATCTTTGGGAACGTGAAAAAGTCGTTGGGAATTAGGTCGGGGCTATACGGTGGATGGTTAAACAATTCGATGTTTTGAAGCTACAAAAACTCAATTGTTTTTTGGGCAATGTGAGCACTTGCATTGTCCTGGTGTAGGATGATTCGCCGTTGTGTGTTGCTTTGCCAGAGTTTTGCTATAACCACTTTTAAACAAACGGTTATATGCCAATGAGAAGTGACCAGATTTTGACACAAAAGTTGCGACCATTTTCTCTAACAGATTGAGATTGAGGTTACATTTGTATCGGAAGGTTTTATTGGTGGCACCCTTTAAGCGGCTATATGCAAAACTAAAAAGACAAACCTCGTATACTATCGGTAGTTTCATGTTCTTTTTCTGTTATCTTATCGTGCTATCCCTGTTTCCTATTGTTTCTCCGGTTTTCATGACATTTAGTGGAATGCCTCTATCTTGTATCAAATAAATAGCAACCTTAATTCGAACTTTATAATGTGCCTTCTTTTTATAAACTATATACTATATTTTTGTAAACTATATTAAAAATAGTGTTTTATGTAAGTACTTTAACACTTAATAAAAGCTGGCGAGGAATAAAATTCCTTTTATATATTTTTTTATTCTTCCTTTTTCTTTTTTCTCTTAGGATCAGTTTAATTTATAATAAATTGTAATGTTAAAACAATTTAAAAGATTCTTTCGAAATGTCATCGCTGTCATGCTCTTCCTAGATTTTCCATTTCATGTATGATCGATTGCTTTAAATATAATTTTATATTGCCCAACACACAATATCATCCAGTGTAAAATGCTTTTTGAAAAAATCCGGGTCTATTTTTATAATCGAACTCCTCCATTGTAGCCACGCCAACGAAG